TATTATAGTCTGTGTTTTAAAGTTTATTTGTCTGATATGATTATTGCTAGCCCAGCTTTTTTTCCTATTTGTATGAAAAAATTTTTCCACTCTTTTTTAATTTTTATGTTTTTTTATTATTAATGTTCGAATACAGTTGTCTCCATTTTCCCACCACCACTTTCTCCCACCCAACCCACCCCCACATCCCACCCTCAATCCTACCCCCCTTTGGCTTTGTCCATGGGTCCTTTATACATGTTCATTTAAGACCCTTTCCCTTCTTTCCCATGCTATTTCCCTCTTCCCTCCCATCTGCTTACTGACAGTTTATTCTTGATTTCAATGTCTCCAGTTATATTTTGCTTGTTTATTTGTTTTGTTAATTAGGCTCCACTTATAAGTGAGATCATATCTGTATCTGTCTTTCACCACCTGGCTTATTGCACTTAGCATAATGCTCTCCAGTTCCATCCATGCTGTCGCAAAGAGTAGGAGTTCCTTCTTTCTGCTGTGTAGTATTCTATTGTGTAAATGTACCACAGTTTTTTGATCCACTCATTCACTGATGAGCACCTAGGCTGCTTCCAGCACTTGGCTATTGTAAATTGTGCTGCTATGAACATTGGGGTGCATAGGTTCCTTTGAACTGGTGTCGCTTTTGATCACTTTGAATATTTCCTGTCAATTCCTCCTGGCCTACAAAGTTTCTGTTGAGAAGTCAGCTGACAGTCTGCCTTTGTCTTCCTGCTTTTAAGATCCTCTCTTTAAGTTTTGGCATTTTAATTATGATGTGTTTTGGTGTGGGCCTCTTTGGATTCATCTTGTTTGGGACTCTCTGTGCTTCAAGGACTTGAATGTCTATTTCCTTTGCCAGGTTGAGGGAGTTGTCAATCATCATTTCTTTTTATTTTATTTTGTGTGTGTGTTCAAATGGGTGTTTTCTGCTATCTTGTCTTCCAAACCACTGGGTTGATCCTGTTTCATCTAATCTGCTGCTGATTCCTTCTAGTATATCCTTCATTTCAAATATTGTATTCTTTGTTTCTAAGCATCCCTACAACCATGGTTTTGAACTCTGTATATGGTAGCTTGCTTGCCTCCATTTTGTTTAGCTCTTTTTCTGGAGATTCCTTCTGTTTTCTTCATTTGGGACATGTTTTTTTGTCACCTAATTTTGACTGCCTCTCTGTATCTGTTTCTATGTATTAGGTAGATCTGTTATGTCTCCCGGTCTTTTTTAAAGATTTTATTTATTTATTTTTAGAGATAAGGGAAGGAAAAGAGAAAGAAACATTGATGTGTGAGAGAAACATCAATCAGCTGCCTTTCATATGCCCCCACAACTGGCATGTGCCCTGACTGGGAATTGAACATGCGACCTTTTAGTGCACAGGCTGGTGTTCAACCCACAGAGCCATACCAGCTAAGCTCTCCCAGTCTTGATAGGTTTGCCTTATGTAGTAGGTGACCAGTGGGGCCCAGAGGCAAACTCCTTGATCACCTAAAAAGGGTGCTCCAGAGTGTTGCTTGTGTGTGTTGTGTATGCCCTCTTATTGTAATTAAGCCTAGATTGCTGTTGGCACATCAGAGGATGGGACTGACCTTCATGTTGACAGGCTTTGGGGATTGTCCAGGACCACCACATACAAATTGCTGTGCAGGGGCTGACTCCCTGGAGTAGGGTTTGCCCTTGCAGGCTCTGGTGCCTACAGAGAGCAGCTTTTAGGTGTGCCACTGTGGTCTGAAGCTGGCCACTGGGTGTGTCAGTTTGGGGGCCTCTTAGGAGGGGCTCTATTGCAAGCCAAGGTTAGCAGCTGTCTTTGACTGGCCCAAGATACCTGGTAGGAACTATGAAGTGGTCAGCGGTTGGCAGCTGCCTGCACTGAACCTGGAGGAACATGGGAGAGGCCACGTTGTGGTCTGAGGCCAACCGCCACCAGTACTGGGTCTGCAGCAGCAGCTCAGGAAAAGGCACAGGGCACCCAAGATCTGCCGCCACCTGGCCCATAAGGCTCAGCTGCTGAAAAAGGATCAGGCAGTTATGCAAATTGGGTGAGGCAGAGTCTCAGGGAGTCACCAGGGTGGAGCAAGTGGTCTTCACCAGGTTAATGCAGATTTAGATATGGCGCCAGTGCTGAGCCTGGGGTCACTCAGCAAAAGTCACAGTGTACACCGAGGTCAGCTGCCACCCACCTGGGGCCTGTGGGTTTCTGAGACTTTTTTTTAATACTCACCTGAGGATGTTTTTCTTAACTGATTTTAGATAGGGGGAAAAGGAGAGAGAAAAAAAAACAGAGAAAGGAACATCGACATGAAAGAGAAATATTGATCGGTTGCCTCCCATTAGTGCCATGTCCTTACTGGGGCTCAAACCCACAACCTACGTATGTGCCCTGACTGGGAATATAACCTGAACCTTTTGGTGTAGGGGATGAAATTCCAACTAACTGAGCCACCGGCCAGGGTTCTCTGAGACTTTTTAAAGAAAGACTGCAGCATGGGCCAAGGCCAGATGCCTGTTGCCAAAGGAGCCTCTGGTAGTGTGTAACTCGGGTGGGGCAAGATCTCAGGGAATCATCAGAGTGAAGTAAGCGGAACTCACCAGGTTAACGCAGATTCAGATTTGGCCATGGGAAAGATGGCACCCACTTGCTTGCTGTGTGGTGTAAGGGCTCAACACAAGGGCAAGGGCAGCTGTCCCTCCAACCCTCGCCCTGAAGCCACAGAACTCAGCTTCTCCCTATATGTCTCTGGTGCCTCCCACACCCTGGCCACTGCCCCTTCCTGCATGACCGAGTCTGTGCGCAGGCCCTTTAAGAGGATGCCTGGGTTTCCAGCAGCCCTCCATCTCACCCAGACAGACAGAATCCCTGCTGATTTTCACAGCCAGATGCTGTGGGGGCTCCTCTCTGCAGCACTGCTCCTCCAGGCAGGGGAGCCCAGGGTGGAGCTCAGACTCTCCACTCTCCAGGGAGGGACCTCTGCAGCTGAGATGCCCCTCCCAATTCTCAACCACCACACATGAGTACAGAGCCAGCACATTTCGTGTCTCCCCCCACCTCCTACCAGTCTCAACATGGTTTCTTTATATCCTTTGTTATAGGACTTCTGTTCAGCTAGGCTTCAGGTGGTCTCCAGGTTGACTGTTCTATAATGTAGTTGTAATTCTGATGTGGACTTGGAAGGAGGGAAGCACAGTGTTGACCTGCTCTGCCATCTTGATCAGAACCCCTCCATATCTGAGATCCTATTTCTCAGGTGAGGTGATAAATTTGTGGAGTTCATTAAGTCACACTCCATATCCAATATTTTTGTTCCATATATCTTCTGTACATAGTAAAGTTGTCCCATCTCTGGTGTTATGATTGAGGTTACCTATTTGGGACACCTAAGGATACCACCATCTTTGACTTTCCAATTCTTTTTGATGGTTATTGATGCCCTCAGCACCTTGCCTAGTAAGACTAAACGAAATATGCCGTGGCCCACCAAAGACTCGGCTCAGCCCTTTAAAACTAGCTCCTAGCACTTCTACTTGTAACAAGTACAGGATGGGTGAAGCTCACTGATAAAACTTGCCAAAAAATTGTCCCTCTGTGACCTAACAGCCTCTTGCCACAGGCTTCTGGTCTCCACTCAGACCTAGTCCACTTACCATGACCTTCACTGGCTTCCCAACCACCCTTCCAAACCCTGTCCACAGTAATCAAAGTCTTCACGCCAGACCCTCTTCTGAGGTCAACTGCAGGCACCTGTGCTTCAGATACCAGTTGCCCGATCTGTTCACAAAGGTGGGCTCTGGGGCCTCAGGTAGTTAAGCCTCTTTCTTCATTAGTAAAGTAGCAATACAGAAGTAACCATATCTATTTAATAAGATTGTGGTAAGAAAGAACGAGGTAATGCACAGAAGATATTTAACCTGTAGTAAAAGAACCCTTAGTGTCTCCTTCCCTACTTCATAAGATAATGGAGAGAATTAAACTGAGTTCATACATGTAAATGGCCTAGTGCAGAGACTCTGCCTTTCACATTCCCCTTGACAACTGGTGCACACACCCCTACTTTGAAGGCATCAAATTGCAAGATGAGTGTATCTGCTGCCCCCTTATGGCCAGAGAGGAGTTACACTGTCCTCTCTCAGGAGCTTAGAACCTGAAGTTTGGGTTTTGGTAGAAAGGAACCACACGATCAGCAGTGGTACTTCCTCTTTCCTCTGAATTTGCCAACTTACACAAAGAAACAACTACTGGACAGAGGAAAGCAGCTCAGGACTCCAAATTTCTCAAAATTTCCTCAGCACGGAAAGAGATCTGCAGGGCAGGCAAGAGGGATTCTACTCTGGGCAAATAATTTAACCCCCAAGAACAAGTTTCTTCCTGGCAGGATAGGAATAAAAGCTATATCTCACTGAGATCTTGAGAGGATATAATTTTTATGCTCTTCATTTTTTTTCTATTTTTTATTGTTGTTCCAGTATAGTTGTCTCCATTTTTCCCCTAACCACTCCTCCCCGCCCAACCCCGCCTCCTACCCTCGATCTTGAAAGGATCTAAATGATATCCTAATACTAGCACAGTAACTGACACATACCGAGTAGACACCCCATAAGTAATCATATTGTTAAATCACCCTGACGAGACGCAGCCATAATTCACAAGGTGCTCTATTTTACAGGGGAGGAAACCGAGGCCCAAAAAAGGGGAGAGATCTGGCCAGGATTTCAAAGTCAGTGGCTGAACCCAGGCTAGCGCTCAGGTCCCCAGAGGGAGTGGGAGGAAAAAAGGAGTACTTGGGTTCCTCCCCGTTGCTGAGCATGACTCTGTCACTTTGCCAGTGATACTCCCCCTCTCCCTCCCCCGACCTCTGCTTTTGCTCAATTCACACAAACACCACCCACTGCCTGCCCCTCCCCTCCACCTCCCTGGACATGTGCTTGGTCCTCCTCCCACCTTCCATGCCTCCATAACCCTCATGGACCACAGGACAAAGCAGAAAGGCAACTCTGACTTTATTCGATTATGTGAAGGGGTCTGGATGTTGGTCCAGTCGGCTACATCGTCAGTCCCTAAAGGCAAGCAGGAGGCCTGCAAGGATGCACCAAGCAGGACCCCGATTGGAGGGCTCCCCACCAGCAATCTGGGCTTTCTGTAAGATGTTGAGAGTCTCAGTCACCCTGATGGTTCCAATATGGTGAAAATCTGCTAAAATCTTGTGTTGATCACGAGCACAGCCCATAAGGAGGAAGGTGGTATTGAGAAACCCTGTAAAGAGGAGAGGGAGGAGTCAGGGACACTTTCAAGACTTAATTGTCCCATCCCTCCTTCCAGACACCCCTCACAAACCAAGACACCTGTTCTCCCACCAAAGACTTGGGCACCAGGCACCCTCCTCCTTGGAACTCGTGTGCCTGGTTCCTACAGCCCTACCCCCCTCTGCAGACCCCACCAGCCTCCCTCAGAGATGGGAAGGTATCAGACAGCACCTGGCATAGAGTAGGCATTTGATAAAGTTTCTCACCTGCCTGAAATTTTAAGGTGGAACTGTAACACTTAGAGGCGGCGTCGGGGCAAGAATCGGTGGTGACAAAATTTGGGAGACAGTCCTTAGAGTGCTCACCCACACAGGTTGGGCAACTAAGGGAAGAAAATGCTGTAGGCTTAGGAGTGTTCCTGAGTTCCAAAAAAGGATCCAGGTTGGTGAGATTATTGCAGAGATATGTCCGGCAGACGCGGCTATAGGAGGCAATGGACAATCCAGGCGGTGAAACGAGGTAGGATACTCGCTGCGGGTAAGATGGGGCTGGGCTGCAGCCTTTAAAACCCACAACTCCCCTTCTGGTCCCTGAGGAGCAGAGATTAGAGAGCTCTGATCAGTGCTGTCGGCCACACCCTCCCACCCTCCACCCTACTCTTCCTGCTTGCTCTGCCCCATCACCAACTTTGCCTCTCCCCCACTGTCCACTCACGGCAGCTTCAAGGGCTCAGATATCCGGGTCTCTATCTGTTTCTCCTCACTCCTCTCCCCTCTGCTCCTCTCTCCTTGTGTCCCAGCTTCTCTTCAGTCCCAGACTGCCTCACTCCCCCTGGGATCTGCCCACCTCTTACACAGGCCACACCACAACCAGCTGGATCCTGCCCCTCTCCTGCCAGTGTCTTGACATTATTTCCCAAAATATAACAGGATAAATATCTAGTACTTGAGTCCAGAGTCCCTGGGTGCTGGGGATGGAGCTAGGGGTCAGAAGAACAAGCAAAAATAAAGTATCAAAGTCACTTCCCTTCACCTGTCTCGATGAGCACCAGCGTCTCCTCACAGCCCTCCCTCAGCTTACACACCATGCTCCTCAAAAGAAGCCATCTCCAGTTGTGGAAATGAACAGCTCTGAAGAGTGAGGACGTCGCTTCATAGCACAAAAGAGCCCCAGCCCCTAAGCAGAGAATTATCTTCCAGTTATTTGTCCCTCACCATACCCACACCACCCCTGAACTGCCAACCAAGTGCTCGGCCCCCAAGATCCTGTCCCTTGAGCAACACAGATATCCAGCCCCCTCCCTTGGGGGCTCTAAAGCATCCAGCACCACAGGACATACAAGGCAGGGTGGAGATGGCCCCTAGGAGGCACAGCAGCTGCACAGGTCTCAAAGGCTGAGGTCCCATGGTCCTGTGTCAGGGTTCTGGATGTTAGAGGTCAGTCCGGAACCAGTTTCAGCCCAGATCACAAGCTTGCTTCTTGTCAGTCCCTGGATCTTCCGTCCACCTGCCTCTGGGTCACTGTTTCTGAAGCAGGAAGTTGATTATCATTTTTTGATAAATGGATTGAGTGTGTGTCTGCGAACCAGAGGATCGTGGTTCGATTCCTAGTCAGGGCACATGCCTGGGTTGCAGGCCAGTTCCCAGCAGGGGATGCATGAGAGGCAATCATACATTAATATTTCCCTCCCTCTCTCCTTCCCTTCCCCTCTAAAGATGAATAAATAAAATCTTTAAAAAATAATAAAAATATTTTTAAAAAGAGAAAGTTCTCAGAAGAGCAAACCAAAACACTAACAAATGTGGAGACACTCGGATTCGACAATAACGAGAGAAATAAAATCTATCAGATGGTACATCCATCAGACTGGCAAAGGATCAGAAAGCTAGAAATGGAGGAGCGCTGGCAGAAATGTGGAGCTATAGAGCCCATGGCTTGTGGCTGCTCTTGGGTGGTGGAAGGAGGAGTGGAATAGGGCCCCCTTCTGGATCCTGAGGAGTACAGGGGAGTTCTGATCAGTGTCTCAGGATTCTGGCAATAACTAGTTGAATTAGGTTTACAACTACCCATTTCTGGTATATCTTGGGTACACATAACCAATTTCCACCTTCACCTACAAGGGAACACATACAAGGATACAGCATTATTATGGTGACAGTAAGATGAAGGCAACGTGGGCAACTTTCCCTAAGACCTAGTGAACACTCAGCGCACAGGGCATGCGCACCATGGAATATTATGCAGCAGTTAGAAAAAAATGAAAAGATGTACACATAACATGTACATGTACACGTAATTAGTGCATGGCAAAAGCACAGTACTGATTACTTTAAATAGTAAAGAACACAGCATCACTTGCCTGAATCAAAACTTCATGCACATAAAGTGCATCACATCTGGCAAGAACATGCACAAACCAAAAGATATGTGTTAGCCACCTGAAGGGAGTATATATATGGAAGGGTTAGGGAATGAGAGTGGGGAATGGGGATTACTGGAAATAACTAACACAATGTAGGTGGTACAAAGTTCACAGACTTTGGACTCAAAGGTGGACCAGGGTTGAAATCTTCACCTCCACGTACTAGCTGTGCAACCTTGTGCAACTGATGAACACATTAATAAAGTAGATTAATAATGCATCTCATAGGGTCATTGTTGAAAAAAATAAATTAAACTAAACACCAGACAAGTGCTAAGCTCTCTGTAAATAGTTTCTTTTCCTTTCCCTTTCTCTTTTTCTTTCTCTTTCCTCCTTTCTTCTCTCCCTCCCTCTCTCTCTCCCCCCCTCATCTAAAGAATCAAGATTGCCCTAGCCAGTGTGGCTCAGTTGGTTGGAGTGTCATCCCATACACTGAAAGGTCACCTGTCAGATTCTGGGTCAGGACACATGCCTAGGTTGCAAATTTGATCCCCAGTCATGAGGGAAGCAACCAATGAATGCCCCTCCCACACACACACCCTCTCTGGAATGAGAATAAAATAGATCTTTTAAAAATAAATCAATAAATAAAAATTTTAGAAAAGAATAAAGGTTAACCTCTTCAGCTGGCATTCAAGCCTCCCACCCAACCACCCCCAGAGTGACCCCAAGCAACCTTTCTGTGTCTAGTACAGCACTTCTGCACAGCAGTCTGGGTAGGGTCACCCACAGCTACCGTTTTTTGTCCAGAATGACTCACACACAAGGCCTGTATCCCAGAAACCTTTGGCAAACACGAGGGCTAAGAACAACAGAACAGGAACACAAAATGAAGAAATGAAGGCAAAGGATCGCACAAAGGGAGTGAGCCAATCAGAGAAGACAGCACACACCAGCCTGGAATGCAAAACGAAAGGAGCTAACAACCCGAATACAAGTGGGACACAACCACAAAAAACTGGAATGCAATCCTCAAAGCAAAACAGATAAAGTGGAGGTTGGAGGAGATGCTGCCCTTACGTTAGAGAAACTGTACAGAAGAGGAGCAAACGATGGAATGGAGCCACGTAGGGGTTCAGGGGAAGACTAGTAGGGGGCGCAATCAGAGCTGCAGGAAAGTGAAAAGGGGGCACAAAATGGGGTCTCGGGGGGAGGGAGACCCTCTCTGAGGGTGAGAGGGAGAAGGGGAGGCAGGGCAGAACACAAAGGGGACAAGAGAGAGGACTGAGAAGGGAAACGTGAGATGGGTCAAACAGAGCTACACAGAGAAGGCAACCAGTTACGGAGGGCCAAGAGGTGGGTGGAATCTGGGAGGGAGATGCTACAAAGGGTGGAAAGGGCTGACAAGACAAAATACTACAGACACGGTTAGGGAAGCGAAGAAAGTGGGGAAGGGGGCCAGGCTGTCACGGAAGCAGGCACGGGGGGGGGGGGCACAAAGGACGGGCAGAGAGACTATGAAAGAACGGGAAAACCAAGTTAGGAGAATCAGCTCCAACGCAGACAAGAAGAGACGAAGGAGACTGAGAAATCACGGGGTGAGGGACTAGAGCACCAGGAGAGAAGTAAGAGAAAACACGGGCATCCGTGCTGTGAAGCGGCGCCTCCTAGAGTGGAGACCAGAGGGCGAGACCACGCCCGCGCAGCCGGGCTCGGGTCAACGCCCCCTGGTGCGGCCGCGCGGGCTGGGCCTGGGGGGCAGGGCCAGCCTCGTTCTGGAAGCTACCTTCGACGCCCCATTGGCCACCTACCCCAAAAGGGGAAGAACAATCTGGAATGGCAAACCACAGGGCGAGGGCAATGCAGCACAAGACTCAACTCGAGGCGCCATTGGTTGGCCTACGAGCTCCCTGCCTACAGAAGCGGCCTGGACAAGTAAGGGGTGAGCCGTCATCGAAGGATCTTGAAGCTCATTGGTTGCTTGCCTGGGCGACAGGAGAAGGCGCTGAAGCTCATTGGTCCCTCCAAGACGGGGCAGAAAAACCAGCGCGAGCGCAGCCGTTCCTGACGTCACTTCCTCACTGCATCCTGTCGCCTCTTCCTGACTGAGTCTGACTCAGCTCGAGGCTGTGGTAACCGCGGGCCTAGGACGCGAACACGACCCCGCCCCTCCCTGTTCCACCTTCTTCTTTCTTGCACAGGACCACCCTCCCCCGTCCCCGCGCATCCCCTCGCCTCCCCCTGACTGCCCCCTGGAGCTCCTCGCGCCCCTCGCCTCCCCTCCCCCACACCGTGGGCTCCGAAGCACAGTCCCGTGCTGGCCTCCTTCCTGGGACCCTGGAATGGGCCGCGGTCTAGCTTTCAGAGGGACAGCAGTGGCAACGGGGTGCATCTAGCAGCTGCGGGAGGGGGTGGGATGGGCCTGACATCTGCTGTTGGGCGTGGGCAATGGCACAGGCAGCGTGGGGCGCCACGATGCACGGGTTTGCATCGGAGTTCGGGGATCGCGTTGGGTGTGAGAGCGAGATTCCTCCAGAGAAGAGAGAGTTAGAAGAGAGAGCTAGATTTGGGGCCTGGCACGTGGCAGGGGCTCCAAATGCATTTGTCGAAGGAATGAAAATAATTACTGGAACAGGGACAAGGAATCCATGAGAATAATGGAGTTCCTGTGGGTGCAAGAGAGTGATCTAATCAAAGGGGGTGCAAAGGGAAAATTGAATTGCAGGGCACACGTGAGGCTGTGAGTTGGAAGGGGAGCATGAAGTATTTGTGGGAATTGGATAAATGCAGGAAGGAAGGATGATCATTGTTGAAGAGGATGCCGGAACAAACTGTTGGGCCAGGGCGATTGTGGAAAGGGGAGGTAGGATTCCTTGCAGCGGGGCATGAAAGTGCATGAGTGTGCCTAGAACAGATATTTGTGCATGGTAAAGTACAGAGGAGAAGAAGAGAATAATGCTTGGATTGAAAGAATAGGTAAGGAAGGAAAGAGGAGAAGCATTCTTGGGAAGAGGGTTCGCTGGGAAGGAGGGTGCCTGAGGAAAGTAGTGGGGTGAGCAAGGGAGAAGCAAGGGTGACAGCGGAGCCCAGAGTGTGTGGGAGGGAGGACCACCTCAGGTGTGGCCTCCCAGGGCAGCCAGGCTGGTCAGGAGAGGGCTGTCATGGCCACCTGATCCTCCACTCCTGCCCCCAGGTCCATGGAACGTGAGGAAACACTTGCCGTCCACCACTGCCCCTCAGACTCTGCCACAGGGGGTGAGACCAGAGTCTCCCAGGGCACGGAGCTTGCCCCTAAGAGAGCTGTCGGTCGCTCTCCAACTTGCGCCCGCTGCCGCAACCATGGCGTCACTGCCCACCTCAAGGGCCACAAGCGACTCTGCCTCTTTCAGGCTTGCGAGTGTCACAAATGCATCCTCATCTTGTGAGTATGCAATGCCGGGAAGGGAGGATAATGGCTTCCACCTCAAGGGTGGCTGACTTTTGACTCACGAACCCCCTTTTAGGGAGCGCCGAAGGGTCATGGCTGCCCAGGTGGCCTTGCGTAGGCAACAGGAGTCACAGCTAAAGAGGCACCTGGCTCATAGACTGATCAGAGACACAGCTCCTCCCAAAGCTCACAACCGCATCAAGAAAGGAGCCAGGCGACCAGGGGTCCCCCGTGAGTGACTCTGCCTAGAGATGGGTCAGGGATTTGAATGGAGAAAGCATGAGTAGGGAAAAGAGTCCAAGACATGCCACCGAATTGGTGTGTGACCTTGGGCAAGGTGTTTTTATTCTCTGGGCCTCAGCCTCCCACCTTTAAAATGTGATCAAGTGCTGGGAGAGTGCATTGAGATCTGTGAGTAGAAAAGGGCCCATAGGAAGGTGAGAACTCAGTTTTCAGTTGGAGTGGGATGCGAGTCAGGAGAAAGGGCTCACCAAAGCTCTCCCTGGTCCCTCACAGCTGGAAAGGAGAACTTAGCACCCCAACCTCAGACCCTCCGTGGGGCACTCCCACTGACCCTGACACCCCCTGGGAAGGTAAGGAGAGCCTGGGCCCTGAGGGAGTCACTCCTCTCCTAGCCCTGCCGATGCCCCTTCCTCTCTGCCCTTGACACGTGGGTTCCAGGTCCAACCCTGACTTGCTACATCATCTTGGGCAAATCTCTTCTCTCCATGGGCAAAATAAGGGGGTGGGATTTTCCAGCCCTCCAAGCTCTGAAGTTTGGGGGTCCTACCCACATCCTAGAATATTCCCATTTCTTCCCCAGCCTTGTACCTGAATCCAGCCTGTGTCCTCTGATCTTGCAGGAGAATTCCCAGGGGACTCTGCTGCTCAGCCATCCCCCAGAAGCCTTGCCTTTGCCCTGCACTCCAGTGTCTCCAGGTGCTTGGAGCCCTGGACACTGGCTGCCTCCAGGCCTTCCCGTGCCACCCCCAGTGGTGTGCTGCCTGCTATGCCACAGACCTGCTGTCCCTCTGCAACCCTTTCCTGGTAAGATGAATTCAACGGGTATTTGAATGCCTGTATACCACTTTCAGAAAAAGAAGAAGAGAATACAGGGTAGGAAGAGGAAGGACAGAAGCCATGACCTCTGACCCTTATACACTCTGCATTGTCTTCCTCTCCTTAGGTTTTGACCCTGTCACCTCCCTTTGGCTGCCCACTTATGGGCCCCTCCCAACCTGCCCAGGATCTCACCCAATACTGACGGCTCCCCTGTCTGGAGAATCTGAAGGGCCCTCTGCCCTGACCAGAACGTGAGTAGGGAGAGGAGATAATGTGTTTACCATGTGCCTAACCCTGTGCTTGATATTGAAGTAGATGATAAGGAAGAAGAAAAGGTCTCAGACTAGTGGGTGAAGCAGATATCTCCTAGCTCTGCTGTTGCCTGGCTGTGAATCTTTGTACAAATATTTTTATTTTTACCACTCTGAGCCTATTTTTCTACCAGTAAATCAGAGACACTAATACTTACTTCACGGGTTGTCGTGAGATTTAGCAATAACAATAACTAATACACCTAGCACAGGCCATGGCCTTGAACAAATAGTAGCTATTAAAATCTCTTAAACAGATACGATGAGGTTGAATTGCCTGCTGAAACAGGACATGGGGGGGGGAGTTTGGTGAGAGTGTCAGAGGCCATTGGAGAAAGCTTCCTAAAGGTGGGGCAAGCTGCTCCTCAAATTCCTTGAGGATTAGGGAACTAGGGGGAGGGAAACAAGACTATGGTAGGGCAGGAACAGTCATCCCATTTCCTCCAGATGTTTCGTCAGTTTTTTTAAAAATTGATACCAGTGATTCACATAATCCTCACAGTAACCTTGGGAGAAAGAAGGTGGCAGGCATTGTCATTTTACAGAAAATAAAGCAGGCTAACAGAGGAGAAGGGACTTACCCAAGGCCACAAAGTCTAATGACACAGGAGCCACTCAGATTCCCAGGTGAGAATACAGTGATCAGCTACTTAATGACAGGGACACGTTCTGGGCGATTTCATCACTGTGAGAACACTGTAGAGCACTGTACACAACCTAGATGGTACAGCCTACTGCACACTGAGGCTCTGTGGTACAGACAATCGCTACTAGGCTGCAAACCTGTACATCATGTTGCTGTACTGAATACTGTAGGCAGTTGTAACACAGCAGTGAATATTTGTATGTCCAAACATAGAAAAGGCACAGTAAAAAAATATGGTAGAAAAGCTTTAAAGAAACAGTCCACCTGTATAGGACACTTACCGTGAGTGGAGCTTGTGGATTAGAAGTTGCTCTGGTTGAGTCAGTGAGTGGTGAGTGAATGTGAAGGCCTAGGATATTACTGTGCACTACTGCAGACTTCATAAAGACTGCACACTTAGGTTGCACTAAATTTATTGAACAAAATTAGATTAAATCAAGCCCAAGAGAAAAATGATGCTATCAGGAGTCAGGGTAAACGCCAGATGTATGAGGCTGCTGCTGGCCTAACACAAGCATACAGCATTACAGCAAGCTTTGTTTTATGAGTAGAAAAGTACACTCTAAAAAGTACAGTAAATACGTAAGACAGTAACATAGTGGTTTATTATCATTATCAAGTATTATGTACTGTACATAATTGTATACTTTCACATGACTGTCAGCACAATAGGTTTGTTTACACCAGCATCACCACCTAACGCATCGCAGTATGAGGTTACAATGGCTACAACATCAGGAGGCAATAGGGATTTTTCTACCCCATTATAATCTTATAGGCCCAAGGTTGTACATGTGGTTCATCATTCACCTAAACATTGTTATGGAGTACAGGGCGATATAACAAAATCCTTCCCTCTTTCCATGTGGACATGTCTGGCCATGTGTTTAATATTCCTGGCATCTTCTCTCCTTGTTTTTAGATGCTCGACTTTGATACTTCAGCCCTGTAGCACCCCAGGCCCTCTTCTGCTACCACCACAGGTCCTGGGAGAGAAGTGGGATCCAGGACCCTGGGAGGAAGTTGACCTCGAGGAGGGAAGAGTAGGGGATAGTTAAGTAACTGGGGGCTGAGGAAGCACTTGGAGGGTGGGTAGAAGTGGGGGTTCCCAGTCTGCTTCTCTCCCTTTCCTTTGCAGACCTCCAGAGCCTCTTGCCTGGCCTGGACCTCTGCCCCCTCAGAGCAGCAGCTACAGCAGGAAGCAGCTGAGGCTCTTGTGGGGCTGAAAGGTTCATCCCAGGCTTCCCGCCTGACCCCTTCAGTCTCTCCCAGCTCTGCTTGGATCTCGCTGCTCCATCCCTGTGGCCCACCAGGTAAACTGTTTCCTGAAGAGAGACAATGGGGTAGAGATGGTTGGGAAATGGAGGTACTGGAGTACGCAGGGACTAGCCAAGGTTACCAGGAGGTCAGCAGTGTGAATGTGCCCAGGACCAGGCCCCACGCTTCTCAACTTAGCTTCTGGAATTGAAGTTGAAAGTTATTCGGTGGATCAGTTTTATCACTTTTGTGCTCAAAAGCAAATGTCCAGTGCCCCGATGGCAAGGAAAGTGAGGCCCTGGGAGAGGCAAGGACTGCTTAAGGACTCAAAGCAAGACGGCCGCAGAGCCTGGTCTCTTGGCTCTCGGCCAAGGCTTTCCCTGGACACAAGCTGCCTGCTGAAGTCTGGAGAGGAGCTGAAGATGAAACAAGGGTTTGGCTTGGAAGGAAATCTGATAACTGCCTTTGGGAAGCTTCCATTCTACTTGGAGAAAGTGGATGCCTTTGCAGAGCCCAGTGACAACTCCAGAGAGAACTACAGAAATCTTGAGGAATGAGAAACTCCTATGGGGACAGAAAGGGAAGGTTGAGAGTTCTCCTGTCCAAAAATGGTGGGTTGGGCATGGTGTGTGGGTGAGGAAACCATTCTGGAGGATAGAAAGGGAGGAGATGAGCTGGAAAGGCTTTTCTGATCATGGAGGTCTGCATGCCAGTTTTAGGAGTGTAGACCAGCAACTGTGCACTAAGGGGAGCCAGAGAATGTTTCTGAGCTAGGCAGGGGCATAGTCAGAGGACCTAAGCTTTAGAGAGACAGGTGTGGTTAATGTAATGGAGGGATTAGAGGAGGCAAGACTGGAGAGAGGAAAATCAGTGGGGAGGAAGTGCTTGCTGTAATCCAGGTCAGCAAGGACAAGGCCTGGATTGGACGGGGTAAATAGAGGGGGTTGCTGGGATAAGAAATGGATGTGACCTTGTCCTGCCTCCTTTCTTCCCGCCTATAGGTCCTACTGGAGGAAGAGGATTCCAGCCTGTTGGCCCCTCTCTCCGACCCAACCCAGCCCCGTCTGTGGCTCTGCATATTGGGCATCTGGGCTCCATCTCCTTCCTAAGCTAAAAGCCCAGAGGTGGGGGCCTCACTGGGGCAGGGTACAGCAACCTGCAGGCACTGCATATTTGGCATTTTGTTTGTGAATTTATGCATGGAATTTAATGTACCACGAGCTGAAGGCTTTTTTTAAGCTTTCAGGTACCTTGTTAGCTTTTGGTTCTTTTTGTAGCATACATATTTCCTTGGCCCACAGTGGATAATCTCTAACCCCCCTTGGGTCTTGGGACCTTTTTAATATCCCAACAAAGAATGAGTTGTGCGATTTAAACTTCTAAATAGGTTTTTGCATGAACTCATATTTCAGAATATTTATTTGACATGTAATTCTGTACATACCTGTGCACTTATGTCTGTCTCCATGCATGCAAAAATGGGAGATTATTTTCATTTTGTGTCTAAGTTTGTATGAGTAAGGAAGAAATAAAGCTTTGTTGTGTTAAGCCACTGAGACTTGGGGATTACTAGTTACCACAGCCTAACCTGGCCTGTCCTAATGGACAAAAAGGACTTATTCATTTCACTTCTCAAAATGAAAATCATTATTCAGTAACTACCACAGATAAATACAAAGATGGATTTCTTTTTTTTTTAGATTTTATTTATTTTTAGAGAGAGGGGAAAGGAAGGAGGGAGAGAAATATCAATATGTGGTTACCTCTTGCACGCCCCCTACTGGAGACCTGGCCCACAACCCAGACAGGTGCCCTGACTGGGAATTGAACCAGTAACCCTTTGGTTCACAGCCCTGTGCTCAATCTACTGAGCTACACCAGTCAGAGCCAAACACAGATTTCTTATGGTCAGACAAGAAAGAAAGGTATGGGGGGGGGGACAGTGGGAGATTCACTGATTTAGTAATTAAGTGGTTGCTCTGTGTCAGGCATAGACAGTTTCCATCTGTCCAGAGAGCTACAAACTGAAGTGCCTACAGGGCCAACCAGATCACAGAAGTGAGGAAAGAAGGCCTGGGGAGCCTAGAAAACTGAGAAAACATGCATATTACCTAACAGGACAGCCTCCTTCTGACCCTGGCAGATTATTGTCAGGCAGGAATGCATGCTCAGTATTGCCACCCCGGATTTTTTAAGAGGATCTGGAAAACTAGATTTCTGTGTAAAACATCTTAATTTTCAAATGTTGTCTCAGTTTTCTTCTTTAAATTTTACATGAGCCAAACAAAACATGTCTTCATGCCAGCTTTAGCCAATGGAATGCCAACTTAATGCTATTCTAACATTTTTCAAATGGGAAAACAGGCCAAGAAGGACAGGAAGAATCAAATTAGTCATTATTAAGGATTTTCCTGAACTAGGAAGGTGCATGCGTCTAAGCGTTGAAGGACCTCTAAAAGGTTAGGGACAGCTATTACCCTTACTGGTTATACACTGTATGGGGTTCACATAGACCCTCACAGCAGCTCCATAAACTATGCACGATTACCCCCATTTCACAAATGAAGGAACAAGCTTAGAGAGGTAAAGTGACCTGCCCAAGTATTTTAGGGAAAATGTCTAGGCAGATATTGGGGGAAGTTTCCTTCTCCTTGCCAGACCTAAAATCAATTAGTAAGAAATTTTTATAAAACATAAAGTGAAAGATTCAGGTCTCCAGGAGACAGAGATGAGTCCCAAAGGTTTTTCAAAA